GCCCGAATGGCATAACGAGCCACTCATAAAGACCTTGTTTGGTCTTGAAGGCGGTTTTCCATTCATCGCCTTCTTTCATCCTAACTTGGTGGTAGCCACTCTTAAGGTCGATCTTTGAAAAGATCAGGGCTCCGCTTAGCTCATCGAGCATGTCATCAAGTCGGGGTATGGGATGCCGGTATTTAACCTAAGAGCATCTGTTTTCGCTTGCTGGCCTCCTCCTAAATTTACCGTTTTACCCTCAGTGATCTCTTTTTTGTTTTGCAATTAATCGAATCGAATTTATTGCTAAACAAATGAAACCTAAAATCACTCTCAAGAGAGAGATGTATATACATACACAAGCAGACAAACATGTGCATGTAGAAAGTGACTGTCGTATATTACAGGAATATACATATACACACATATGTATATATATGTGTGTGTGTCTGTTTGTGTATAAGAGCATTTTTACCGCATTGGAAATCTGATTAACACTATGTAAAAATTTCGAAGGCTCGATTCTTCGAGAGGTTCTTATCATTTTGGTCGTACATTTGTTTTTTTTGTCACCGTCAACTTTCTTAGTTGGATTGACGTGTATGTAGTAGTACATATTCAATGTAGTGTATACATATATACATATATGTGTGTGTATATATTCCTTCCTTGGATGAATGATCTTGGCTGTCAATTCATATGCGTGTTCATGAAAGACAAGTGTACGTGAGTACTCACAGGTCACACCATCTACATCGTTCACGCGCGCTTTGTCATTGATATGCCATACAACTTTCGTGTATTCATGTGAATATATATATATATATATATAGATGTGTATATTTATTTTTTTCAAGGGTATATAATTCTATAAACATGTATATATGTGTGTATATCTTGTATACAGGATAAATATTCTCTAATATCTCAAGAAATTAAACGGATAAACCCTCCGTACGTAAGACTTTCGGGCCAGGGGAAAAAAACAAAAGAAGGGACAGTAGCGAAAACAAAATAGGAGACGGTGACGGAAATCCGGGGGAAAGAGACAGACGAAAAGCCATGTCCGAAAATCAACTATAGCTTACTATAATTTAATAAAAACACTGGAAATCGCTTTCGTTCGTAACGTTAAATAATATGGTAAAATATTTTGTAATGGAGTTTTTATAGTTTGTATGAATTTTAGAAGCAGTTCTTACAAAATAATCTATAAGGTAAGGTTTGTAAATTATGTTTCAAGAGTTGTTTCTAAAATTCATGCAAACTAAAACTCTTTACAATTTTCAATACTATTTCAAGAGATTCTTTCTCATATCTTGGTTAACGGGATGTTTTGTGCAATGGGAATGCCCTTTAGAATAGGAATTAAAATTTTTATTACAAAATTAAATTATCTACTTAAACTTATTCGATTATCAATAATCGTGAACTTTGTTACAAACTAGAAGATTTTTGGTTTTTTTTTTTTTGTAGTCTTTGGTCACACATCCCTTAATTTCGAGTGCCAATAGCATCACGGCTTTTGTTAATCCTGTGATTTTCATGTGATTCACTTTAGCTACAAACCATTTTGTTATTATATATGTTCGTGGAAGTGAGAACATTGCAGATTCAAGTTTTTCGGACAAGTGATCTATTTTTGTATCTACATGCGTATATGTTTGAATCCCAACTGTATGAATCGAGCATGTTATTGGGATATATATCATTAATCAAACAGTAAAAAATTATCTGCTGGCAAATTAATAAGAACAATTAATCATATTTATTTGATTCGAAATAGAAAAATCATACTATGATATCTACCTATATATATATATATATATATAATATCATCTACAAGCTCAATTATATCAAAATAGGTGGTTAGAATTGAATCTGTCATTATTTAGGATTTGGGGGTTGGACGAAGAAGTTTATATTATACTCCATATTGTATATATCCTATGTCCATGAACACGTGTGAAACTGCATCTGGATTGAATCTTTAACAAAAAAAAAAAAGAGTATCCAATGATTATTTGGTGGTTATCTAATCATTTGTAGATAAAATAGTAAAAAAAAAAAAAGATTCAAAAGGATCAGTTCGATTCTTCTGCTCCCCTCCCCCATCATTACAGCTTTGGTTTCAAACGGTGTCTTTCAACCACTTGCGGCAGTCATATCTCTCTGTCTCAGTTTCACATTATTTTATCTATTCATTTATTAAACTACATTATTTTTGTCTATCGGGAGTCTCGATAAAAAAAAATTATAGATGAGACGTAAGAATTTTTTTTTAATTTTTAAATCAATCGAATTCAATTCAGAAATAAAAGAAATCAAAACCGACGGTCGGTCCGTGTACGGATCTTTTGAAAGCCATGTTTTGTGCTGAGGTTACGGGAACTAGCCGTAGATTTCTGCGTTTGCGGTTCTTGACCACATTAAATTCAACGCATATCAACAATTTGTTTTCTCGATGCGCAAAGGAAAATATGGTCAAAATATTCCAACCCGATAAAATACCAAGCGACGGACATTAATATTATTTCGGTTAAACTTAAATTTCACCTAGTTATAAGCTTTTAATTGTGTACATTTTAGGTGTGGACGTTTCGGTATTCGGTTCGGGTTCAGTTCGAGAATGATTGGGTTCATTCTTTCGATTTTACAAAAATATATACCAATCGGTTATTATATCTTATTCGGTTCGATTTTGGTTTTTATTAAGAAAATTTTAGATATTTTTAAGAACTTTTTCGGTTTTTCAGATTTTTTTAAAGTTCGATTTTGGTTAGATTCCGAAAATTTCAGTTTTCTAAAAATAATATCATTCGGGAATTTTAGACAGTTCGGATCAGAACAATACATATTTTTCAATTCAATACGGTTTTAAGATTTTATTTATTTTAATGTCGAAATTGGTAAATTTTTTTTAAATAAGCTCGAAGGCGTGTGAAAAGCCCACACGGTTTTGAAGGACAGAAGCCTTGTCTCTCTCTGTTTGCTTTCTCCATTTGCCAATGTTAATACCCTCATCGGGTTTTTTTTTTTTTTTTGTCCCGACAAGACAAATGTAAAAAAAATGTAATTAAATATTAACATTAGTACTAATAAACATAAAAAAGAAAAGATGTTCCCTATTATATAAAAAGAAGCGTAAATTGGTTGCGGCAGTGGCAACAACGTAAATTAATGCCTGCCTTCTTACCAAAGTTTCTATAAATTCGAGTCCTCGTTCCCTCCTCGTTTCCCATCTCACCAAAAGCAAAAGCATCTTACTTTTCTCACTCTACGTTTCGCTCTGAAAGGAAAGCAGAGATTTTCCAAGTACTCTCTCTCTCTCTATCTCTCTCATTTCCTTTGGCAATTCTTGCATAAACGTAACATTAAAAGGCCTGTCTTTGCAAACTCAATATGAATGTGCAGGAACAAGACAGAGAAAACATGGGTTATGTTGGGTTCTTGGTTTTGGGTGTGGTCGGAGTAATGGCCTCCGGTGTGAATGGCGGCGGCGGTTGGGTCAACGCCCACGCCACTTTCTACGGCGGCGGTGATGCTTCCGGCACAATGGGTAGACTTTCTTCTTCACCCACACAAAAAAAAGTTTCCACCTTTATGTTTCCCCCAATAAGATTCCCTCAATTGCCCATTTTACCACCATTTCTTCAACTTAATCTTGCAAGTATTATAACGGAATCCGATAAACATTTGCCCTTTATGAGAGGAAATGTAACGAACAAACGAACAAAAACACTGTAAATGAAACCCATCCATATGGACAAAACCACTGTAAATGAACAATCTAAGCGAAACCAAGAAAACGCATTTGGAGATTTCCGTTCTTTAATCAAAATCTGTTTCCATCAGGCGGGGCGTGTGGGTACGGCAATCTGTACAGCCAAGGATACGGGATGAACACGGCGGCGCTAAGCACGGCTCTGTTCAACAACGGGATGAGCTGTGGGGCGTGTTTCGAGATAAAGTGCGTGAGTGATCCTAAATGGTGTCTCCCTGGCTCCGTAGTGGTCACAGCCACTAACTTCTGCCCTCCAAACAACGCTTTACCCAACAACGCCGGTGGATGGTGCAATCCTCCCCAGCAACACTTTGATCTCTCCCAGCCTGTCTTTCAGCGCATTGCTCAGTACAGAGCTGGTATTGTCCCTGTTTCTTACCGAAGGTATGCTCTCTTCCCACGATTGAATTTGCCAAAAATATAGGATTTTGGTTCGAGAAATCTTGCTGTCTTCGCAGAAATTTACTCGGCCGCTTGGTTATATGTTTCTTTAGCTAAAGCCCACAACAGAACTCTTGGTTTGATCGATCAATTAACAGGAGCCTCATTCTGTTGTTTTGTTCTTGTTTGGTTGCAGAGTTCCATGCATGAGGAGGGGAGGGATAAGGTTCACGATCAATGGGCACTCTTACTTCAATCTCGTACTCATCACAAACGTCGCCGGCGCCGGAGACGTGAACGCAGTGGCGATAAAGGGATCTCGGACAGGATGGCAGCCGATGTCGAGGAACTGGGGACAGAACTGGCAGAGCAACTCTTACCTCAACGGGCAGTCTCTGTCCTTCAAAGTCACCACCAGTGACGGCCGATCCGTCGTCTCCTCCAACGTCGCTCCCTCCGGCTGGTCCTTCGGCCAGACCTTCACCGGTGCTCAGTTAGGCTGATGGGGAAGAGGGCATCTTCGTAATTGTCATTACCTTGCTCATCTCTCTCGAGTTTTAATAAAACATATGTATGAATTAAGATGGCAAAAAAGTGAACGAGTAGCGTGGAGGGGTATATTAGTAACTTTAGTTCTCGTGCAAAGTACAGGTCACCGACGATGAATGACGTGTCCCTTTGGGCCGCTTAGTTTTACGGCAGGCTTCTGATGACGTCATCTCCTGGGACCGTTCTGGTTTTTTTTTTATCTAATAAGTTGAGAATAAAAAAAAGTTTTTTTTTTTTTTTTTTTTGGTAAAGAATAAAAAAAAGTTAGTTAAAGTATTCCATAGGGTTTGGTGAAATCTCAGTGATAGCATCATTATACACTGTATGTTTTATTTTGTATTACCCAATTTTATTAATAAACCTTTACTTTACTACTATGTCATAAGTTTCGTTTTTTTCAAGTAATGAAAATTGAAAATTCATTGCATACCTTTTTTTCCCTGAATTCCCCGACTGTTTTCTTACAAGGGCGTTTCCAATTCCGTGCAAAAAAAAAAAATGTCACTACTGGGTCCCACTTAACATTCGGGTCGGACTTAACAAAATGGGCCTCTATGAAGCCCATTTGAGAGCCCATCAGTGAAAGCCTGCTTCTGAACGACGCGTTTAAGGACAAGTTGGGGCTAATAATATGATTCGGTTCTTGGGCCTTGAGTGAATGAATTGGAGTCAATTTAATTGGGCCAGTGCTCAAAATAAAATTAGAGAGTTGCCCAAAACGAGTCGCTCAGTTCCCGTGTTTAGCAAGTATCAAAATGAGTCGCTAACTCGCTTGATCGCTCAGTTCCTGTGTTTTGACAATTATCAAAATGATGGCTATCTATATATTATTATTATTATTATTAATAAGGTAGGAGGAGATGAGCAAACTGAGATGAATATCGAGAGTAAATGAAATTCGTTATACAGATGAGTAATACACGTACGTACAAAAACGCTAACACCTATAATAAAAAAAATGGTGTTTTATAAATTGACACCGAAAAGATAATATCACGTCAAGAAATAGACAGATAGTTTAACAAAAAGGACGAATTAATTAGGAATGTTATTATAATTAGGGTTTCTATCAGTTGAGGAGTTATGATGATTCATGAATGGTGGGGCTGAAAGTGCGTGTTCCCCATGCAACGAGATATAGGAAGACCAAAACAACGCATAATTGAACAGTAGGGGCTATTGTTCAACCGTGACCAAAATAATTAATGCACTACGAACAAGCATGTGAATGTAAATAGTTTGTGCATGCAAAACATTGAAATTCCCACAATGGGTGAATGTTTTCACCTGTAGTGCAAAATTTGGATGATCTGACATTTTTATTTTGAAGGTACGTTTCAAATTTATAACCACAAGCGGCCCACCATCGTCCAAAATTCAATGTCTTATAACGCAAGGTCATTAATTATGTTTTGAATATTTTCTTTTAAGACATATCCAAGAAGAATAAGAAATATCCCCTTTTTTATACGTTTAGATATGGGAAATTATATTTATTTTTAATGAGGTGAGAGAAAGAGGTGATTCCATTCCATCACTAACCAAGCCTATCAACTCCAAGTGTAATAGAATAGGTGCACTGCTTCACTTTTACAAGCTGTACAAACTGCTTTTTCACTTTGAGCCCTACATTTGTCTTGTTTAATCATTTAGCTCCTTTTTTGGGAGAATTTCGTTTTTATTTTTCAGGTAAAAATAAAATAAAAGCCTTCAAATTTCATGACTAAATTTGGTGGGGTTTTCAGTCTTGAAACTATTCGGCATTCAATCTCTGCGCCTATATTTACTGTAAATAGTGTAATGTGTCCTTGGAGAAACACAATTTTTTTTCATCAAACCCATGACCATCTGGATGAATCAGAGGCTTATAGCCTACCCTACGAAAGGGCCTGTTGAGATGGGTTGCTTCTTTCTTTCTTGAATGATATATGCATATATATACGTATGTATGTATGTTATATGATCTGTAGCAGACATCATACATTCTGATTGCTTTCAGTCTCGAGAACTGTTGCTTTGTCTAAATGTTTCACATTTTCGGAGGCTGATGTCTTATTGCGTGTCCCTTCGCAAAGTTTTCTACTTTGTCAAATCCTCGTGAAATTCATCATTGCTATAAAACATGATTTTTTTTTTCTGTGTTTCTACATCCATATATATATAGATAATGGATCAAATTTATATGGTCATTGTTACATTTAATTAATCTATTTTTATATATAAAAAAAAACCTTTTTTGTTGTGCGTTTGAATATAGAGGAAAAGGAGACAATTAAGCATGGGCAGGTAAGTGTCCTCCAAACATTAAGAAGTGGGTCTTTGGATTAGGTTTCTGACATTTCCTGAAGTTAAGAGATTCACATCTCCTATATGCATTACTTGTAGGTCTTGTCCCCTTTTTTTCTTTTATCCTTCATAATACTAACAAAATATTTTTCTTTTTATCATGTCCTTGTGTAACAAACTAGACCAATCTTCATGCTTCATGTCTCGACTATATGTGTCTAGAATGAGGTAATCGAAACTAGGGGTCGGTATGGGTCACGAATGCGAAATTTTCAAGATATCCGAATTTGAATGTCTCGGATGGCATAATTCATTGTCCGAATTCGTACCTATGAAATTGGATATCCAAACTCAAAAATCCACGAGTCAATTATCGGGTATCCACGATATCCAAATCCGAATATTTTCAATTAGTTTGATCAATTTTTAAAATTCACTTATATATATATACATATTCAAATTCATTCCAAATCAATTTAGAATGTAATTTTATCCAAAATAAATTCAAAATCTACGATATAAATCTTTCCAACAATATCTATATATAATCATTAAAATAAAAAATATAACAGCTATTAAATTATAAATAAAAGAGAAAAATGTGTTGATAATGAGTTAAATAACCATTTTAAAAAACTATATAAATAAAAATATATTCATAAATATATTTAAACCCTAAACTTTAAAGGGTATTTTTGTATTCTACATATATATATATATACACACACGAGACAATAACTATTATCCAAACCTAAACTCGAAATTTAGATATTCTAATATTATTATCCGATCTTATATGTTATTTTACGTCTATTCAAAGCTTTAGATACCTGATCCATGGATATGTCGAAATTCGGATTTTTTCCATCCCTAATCGAAACCTGTTACTTCGTCATTGACAAAATTGATCTAGATGTACATATATGGATGCATATATAGTTTCTATTTATTTCACTAAATAAGGATACAGAAATCCCGTTTTGTATTTCCTTTTTTTGTTGGTTACCATAATCACATAACTTAGTTATGAAATATTTCCTTCTCGAAACGTAATGTGTATGAAATTTAAGTTGTACAATAGCTCGCATCATCATGATGCATGCCAAAGCGTAGAGAGGAACAATAATGAAAATAATATGATAACAGCGAGTGGTTGGCATGGTATAGTTTGACATATCGTCGGGTACTGAAGACATATGGGTAGGGTTAGAGACATCTGTTGAGGGTGTGGGACGAGACCTTCCATTACTTGTTGTACACATTTGTCTTTATATATATGTATAATATATGGTCCTTATGGGAGGGAACAGACCTAACAGAATCTCGTGGACTAGCCTTTGCTATTTGCCTCATGGCCCATGCCATATGTCACATTCCTTAAGTACCCTTCAAAATCTTTGGCTTCACTTCTTCATTATTGTCCTTCTCTTGTACCGAATTCAAATTTTCATAATAAATATAACGCCGTACCAAGTTTAAATATGGTTTTAATTATATTTTATGCATACGGCATCACATGTCCCATCGTGTCTCACCTCCATAATTGCTGCTTTCTCCACTCCTTCAAATAAAAAAAAATATATACATCCGAAGTTCGTTTTGGTCGCATTCCAAACTACGTGGATCGCCAGCCACGTTAAAAATCACATCATAACTACTATTATGGTCGTAATCTTTACTTATTACTCGAAGGATGGCCATTGTAATTTATTACAATTTACATGTCAAACAAAAAATAGCATTCACTATGGACGTACCAAACCCTAACAGTAATTTCCATTAAAATGCAATAATTCCCTAATCACATCCATTACATAGATTACATCTCGATGTCAGTCGAGGATATTATTATATACCAACAATATCTAGGGTGACCTAATCACATCAAAGTAGAGCGTAAATACAAATTTCTTGGTGCATGCGGTGATGGATATGACATTGGACCGTGTCATTTCCATCTCTCCTTCATTCAATGCACAGTGAGGCCGCGAAAGACCGAACTGTTTTGTTTTATGGATACGACCATTTATTTATTTATTTTTGTAACATTTTTTCTTTTTATTTTTTTTTTAAATATCCTTTGTGTTGTGTCTACTGTGTATCCAGAATGTTTCACAACCTTTACATTTCGCATGGAAAGTTCTTTCACTTTCTTGTTTCTTTATGGAACTGTGAACGTTTTCCTGTTGTATTTTATATTACTTTTGAGATTTATTTTCTCATCGTAATTATAAAGACCTTTCGTATCATTCTTTCCGTCGTCAGTGAAGGGTTCACGTGGATTTTTTATTTATTTACATTTTTATGATTTGAATAATTTCTTACTCTTCATTTCATGGAAGAATTAAGTAGATTTTTTAGTTTATATAGTACAATTTTTATATTATATCATTATAAAACCAAATGGGGTTATATTGGATTCAGACAAAAGTGGATGTCTGAATCTGATGCTCGCCCACCTGCTCAACGTGGAATTGTCAGTGAGTTGTTGTTAGTCTTCTGAGAAGGGTTTGTGTTTTCCCATTTTCACAAAAAAATCATTTTATAAAATTTTCTTATATATATATATCGTGTTCAGTTAATCTTAGCAGTTGGATCCACACCTCTGCTCTGCTGCCCTCTTCTGATTCATATATATATATATATATCATATTTATTGTAACGTCTGCCATTTGGGTTTCTGGTCAAATAAGAAACCATCTATTATAAGGTACCAGTCTTACCAAATTATTTAATTTCATTTGACTAGCTTATGCATATGTAGACATATACGTATGTATGTGTATACAAGTTTACATGCACACGTAAGTTTTAAGGCCACAGCTTATTTATAAATTGGCAAAAATAATCATAAAATCTTGGAAAAAATTCATTGTCTTGCCATTTGAAATCAAACATCATTTAACGTAAATGAGTTTTCCGCTTTGTCGTTACGTTACCACAATAGTATCAATAGAGGTTGGCATTTCAATACGATTTCTATTAACCAGACTGTATCGAAAACAAAAAAGTGATATTTTTCCAAAATCGAACTGTTCAAAATTCTCAAATTATATTTTTTTGAAAACCGAATTTTTTGAAATCAAATCGAACCCAACCGATTTTTTAAAAAACCCTAAAAAACCTAAGAAAGATCTACCTTTTTAATAAAAACTAGAACCAAACTGAAAAAAAATCGAAACCGAATATAAAATATTGACCGATTGATACATATTTTTATAAAACCCAAAAGAATCGAACCCAACCATTCACGAACCGAATACCGAGACGCCCATTTCTAATCTCTAAATTTAACAACATATACATAAAATGTTAAAAAAAATTATATATATAACCCTTAGAGATTAGCCACGATCGTCTATTTCGAAATATTGTATATCATGTACTATATGAAGCCACTCAGAAACTTTGGAATCTCTCCGCTTTTTATAAGATAAGGACCCGCCATTTGAGACCGAGGGTCTGTAATGAAGGGACAAAAAAGTCAAAAGAGAAACAAGAGGGGGAGTTGGGTATTAACAAGAAAAAAGTGGGGTTTTCAGGCAAAAGACAGAAAGTAATGTGGTAAGAGAGAAAAATAAAATGGTGGTTGTGTTAGAACTTTGAACTTCAGAAGAGAGAGTCCAATTCAATGACAAGTTTGTTTATTTTTAACTCTTTTTTTTTTTTGCAATTATAATTTAAGTTTTTTAAAAAAAGGACCATGAAAGAAAGGGAAGACTAAAAGGTCTTTCATCTCTATTTTCTGTTTTCTCTCTGACACAAACTATGCTTCCTAGTGTTAACAGATGTGTGTAACACAACACCCCAAAATCTCTCTCTCTCTCTAGAGAGAGAGAGAGAGAGAGAGAGAGAGAGAGAGAGAGAGAGAGAGAGAGAGAGAGATTCAGTACAGTGAGTACACGTCGCGTAAATAACATGACCTTTTGTCTTCTATAGAAGACCGAGAGCTGGAGATTAAGACAGATTCAACATTCATCTGTCATGCTCTTCTCACACGTGCGAAAAAACATACGTTTTGTTCACTCCCAATTTTGCGCCTTCACCTCTTACCGTTCTTTAGATAAAATCACGATTTTCAGTCATAGTCAAATCGCATCTGATGTTAGAAATATAAATGAATCGAGGGCATTGTCACACGTAACTTAGTTCTTTTTAATAAAAAAAATGTTATCCTATGATCATATATATGATCCGTAATACAGTTTGCGCATTGGTGGGTATGAATTTCGAAGCAAACTGCCAATGAAAATACAAAAAATTTGAAAGAAATTAAGAACTTGGTTTATATATATATTTTTTTAAAAATATAGTATGCATGCAGTTGAATCAAAACGGGGTGAGGATGGATGGTTATCCACTTATACTCTCCCTCTCTCTCTAAGTGGTGAAATATGGTCATGACATATGTACGGATTGATATATGTATACATTTATACGTAGAGACATACGTAACATTTTGCAATGTATACATGAATGTGCCAATCTTATACCATACAGACAATATATATGCCCGCGTGTGTGCATATGTATCGATGTTCTCCTCTTAACTCTCATTTTGTCTACTACTTTTTTTCCTTCTCCATTAATGGAGATGGTTTATGCTGACATGGCGTCTCTCTCCATCACACCACTCGTCGTTTCCTCTTCCTCTGACTACTCGTCCTCATCTCGTTACCGACAACTCAGCTGTAACAGCGTCGTCTTATCCGAAGATCTGTCTTGGATGGATCTGATCAACGCTCCCAGATCATGGGACCTTCCTTTCAACATCGAGAACGATCATCGTCTCTTCAACCGAAGCAATTTCGAAGTAGGGTTTCACCAGAGTCCGAGTAATCTGAACAATGCGGTGATTAAGGGAGAGATCAGTGATCACAACAACAGCGAGGTTAGTGGTAAGGAGGAGGCTGATATTATTAATGGAAACGGAAAGCCATCGTCGAAGGCGAATATCTCGAGAGGACATTGGAAGCCAGCCGAAGATAATAAGCTCAGAGAACTCGTCGCCGTCTACGGACCACAAAACTGGAACCTTATCGCAGAGAAGCTCCATGGAAGATCTGGTAATTCCGTCAATCAAGGAAGAACTTGTGTTTTTTTCCATCTGGGTCATCTTAAATCTGTGAAAGATGTAACCTTTTCTTGATATTTTCAAATTATGATGTTGTGACAGGGAAGAGCTGCAGACTGAGATGGTTCAACCAATTGGATCCGAGAATAAACAGGAGGGCGTTTACAGAGGAAGAAGAGGAGAGATTAATGCAAGCGCATAGGCTATATGGGAACAAGTGGGCAATGATATCGAGGCTCTTCCCTGGAAGAACTGACAATGCAGTCAAGAACCATTGGCATGTCATCATGGCTCGCAAATACAGAGAACACTCCACTGCTTACCGGAGAAGGAAGATGATTACCCTCAAACCTCTCCCTAAACCCATCCCTAATCCTGATCCCAGCCCTAATCGCACTTTTAACCATAATCATCACCATCTTCAGCCACAGCAGAAGCAGCTTCACCACTTCACTCACCCTTCTTTTCCTGAGTTTAACCATGGTGGTTTACCTTTAACCCACTTGGTTAATGCCCCCAACCCAAGTGACCTGCATCAGCCGCTGATGCTGCCTTTACATCTCTTTCAAGGTCCGTTCCTGTTCATGCCACTGTAGCAGCTCAGTGTTTTCATTGTAACAGTGTCAGAAATTTCAGGTTTCCTGACGCATTCTTTATGGATTTTCAGGTTGCGAGGGCAATGAAGCTCAGATGGAGGGTATGTTTGGCAACCAAATGATGGATACTTCCGACCAGACAATCCCACACGACGTTGTTACTGGTTTCAAAGACGGTCCTTGCCATAACTTTGCTTCAATGGAGGCAGGAGAGACTGTCACGTTCGAGAGGATTAGTAACGACCACCAACCACCACCTTTCTTTGATTTTCTTGGCGTTGGAGACACATGAACCAAGTGGTCTTTTTCTTTTTCTTTTTCCATTTTTCCCACTTAATTAGTTAATGTCAGTCGATTAATTAGTTAACCAAGAGCTTTAGGAGACAAAAACGAGATCTGGTTCCTTGTCATCTGTGTAGATTGTCGCTGTCTTTGTTCCCACGTCGAGTAAACTCGTTTTAGTAGGTTTTTACGTTTATATCGGCTTTTAGTTCCCAAATTGACCGTATCAAAATAATATGACATGTAATTAAGTCTTTATTTGGAAATTTCTTTGTCTCCTATGACGGATCTTTTTAAGAACGTGAATGCTGTTTTTTTTTTGCCCTAAACATTATAAGATCATACAGCAATCAATATGCATGCATGAATACAAATAATGTTACAATTAATACTATTAATGTCTCGAAATACAGCGTTTTACTTCGCCATTCGATGCAATAACAACAAAATTAAGAAAAGGGTACGTAAAAGGATTGAAGGGAGGGAAGAAGAATAGGACAGTAAGACCGAAACAGAGAAATACTTTGCTTTACTTTGGAGTTTTGCAGGAAACATTCATTCTACATGGGCCTGCAAGATTCAGGCAGAGATTCTGCAACAGAAAGTTAAACATGCAAACACACATGCAAACGCATACATATATACATACACACACACACACAATGCGTTGATTGTTTTGATGGAGACCGTTCAACGAATTATCACCGTACCCTCTTTCCTTGTTGCATTTTTTGAAAAGCTTCTTATTCTCATGTCACCCACATGCCCTTTTCCTCTTTCCCCGTAACCATCCTCTATTTATGACATTTTACGTGTACACATGCACATACTAATTATACATACTGTAACAAATTTATCTTTTTTTATGTTAACTACGTAATAGTTATATATATATATATATATATATATATATATTACTAAATGGGGCTCAAATGTAAATCCCCATCGTGATAAAGTTTTAATTTTTTTGATGAAGCGTGTCGGGATTCAGGTAGTCGTTTTCTTTGTTTTTCTCCTCCTTTTTCCGAAACAGCTTCGCGTGCTGTTTTTCTCCATTTGGAACAGAAACTTTATGTCGTGTTGCGTTTCGCATGGATATGAACAAAGAAAAACAAAACTGCAACCACTGCGGCTTTGTTTCAGCTAAACAGCGCAGCTTCTGAACTGTCGTTTCGAGTGTTTGGGTTTCTTGGAATGGTTTGGGCTTCACTCGTGCAGGCCCATTGGGCTGACCTTCTACCCCAATCCATTAAACGGGTGGCGGACTTCCTCACGATTTTGTTCATTTATATATGTAATGATCGCTTCGGGAACTAAAAATATGATATACTTTGATCAATGTAATATCCGAAGGGTGATTTTAATCCAATAAAGGCATGTCTCTTTCGTGTTCAGAACCAAGAAGAAATTACGTGGTAATGTCATGGATGATATGCTTCATTCAATACGCATCATTTTTTAATCCTATATATTTAATATAGTTTTCGAGAAATTTAATAGCTTAATGTACTTAATTCAACGTGTTATTATTTAAAAAAACAATTAATTGTAAGGAACAACGAAAATTTGTTGACTTGAAAAAATAAAACTTAAAAACCTAAAAGGAGAGCAAAAAGAAAAAGAAAAAAAAAAGGAGAGTTTTCTTTTTCTTTTGTTTTTTCCCCTGGTCCCATGAGCGAGACTTCATGTCATCCATGATGCATATCTGTATCATGTCATCCATGATGCATATCTGTATTATTTAATGAAAAAATTATTTATAATTTAACTCATCTTTTGGACATAAAAAAAAAAGCTTTGTATTTGTTTTTCCTCCCAAAAGCTGAACCACTTTATGAACGTATAGTTGCGTATAAGGTCCATGGCGGAAGCTGGCAGATATCCTTTGCACCTAACATCGTTCCTTTTAAATAATTCCATATTCTTACAATATATCTCTTTCTTATTTTCCATTGCTCACGAGAAATCGTTCTTGGTCAATGGTCAATGGTGTTTCGCACCCCATTGAATTTTGTGTACATATATATATCACATTGGGTGGCACTAACGCAAAATATAAAAGTGGGTGTAATTATTTTCATGATACTCCTGTCCATGTAGTATGTATGTATGTATATATACACACACACATGTATATATATGTAGTGGAAAAGGGTAGTGGAGATATGGGAAAAGAAAGGGAAGAAAAAGAGCAACTTTATTGGTGTTCAGTTGTAGCTTTTGTTCAGTGCCAATGGTTGGATTCTTTTTATAAGTTGGGACTGACAAAGAAAGATGCTTCGGCTTTTTGTTACCTAAAGAAAATTCGTGGCCCTCATTTATTTAGCTTTTCTTTTGTTTTCCCTCGAACTCAATTGGACCCACTTGAGCATCACACCAAATACGTATACGCACTTGTATAGTGAACGAATACTGAACCTTCTGTGTAACTCATCTACCAAAGAGGACACTGATTTCAAGGTTATTACAAAGTTATCCTCTACACTACCCTCTGGTTTTCCAATATATATGTATATGTATGTGTGTGTGTATATATATATATATATATGAAATGTTAAGAGACATACGAGTAGAAATGTCGGATTGAGATTAAGGTTCCAACATATGGGTATTCATGAAATAACCCCATATCTCTTTAAGGTATATTGATGATTCGCAGAGTTATTGTCTAACAAAATATCTACATATAAATCAGTTCTTGAATCGTCTCTCTATGTATGTAAGAGAGAGAGTCAGATCCTGTCGTTTACAGTTGAGTTGTTCTCGTGGAAGTTGAGGGATCGAGCCAAGGCAGCAGGGTTGGCTTGCAAAGCCATAGATGATTCAGACACTAAGCTTCTATTGTTAGCCAATCCCTTGTCCGTACTGTTCTTGTCCTGGCCAGTCGTCTTCTCCACTCTGATCGCTGACTTTGACTTTACGAAGCTTCTAGTGGATTCGCTTATTTCATCAACTCTCTCCCTGTCAGTACCTTTGGAGCTTGTGTCTGTTTCAAGTGAAGTTTGATCTCTTGTTCTTTTCCCTTGACATTGGGAAGTGTTTGGAGGCCACAGCGGAACTGTACAGCCCCAGTAGAAGGGCATAGGGTAGAAATTAGAGTTGGAAATTGCGGGATTCCATCCATAAGGCCAATGAGGCAGAACTGGAAACGTTACTTGCGGAGCAAGAAAACCGTTGTTCTTGACGATCTGTGAAGCAGAATCGGCGGTTCCCTTCATGTCTCCGTTACGGTCTTCGCCAGGATCAGTCACCATGAAACCAGATGACCCGAAATTGAGAATCGTTGCCGAGTTGTTGCCTTTGTTATTGTCGGAATCGATCTGAAGGTACTGATTCGGAGGAGAAGAGGCCCAACCTTTGTTCTTGCGTCTGCCTGATCCAACGGGGACGTTCCTCATGGATCCGCCAGCGGTCCAGTACCTCTGACAGTTCTTGCAGAAGTGACGTGGCTGGTTCACGTTGTAGTTGTTGTAGTAACAGAACTTGGTGTCAGTGCTCTTGCACCTCGGACATGGCAGGATCTTGTCCGGTTTCTTCATGGCTGTTTTCTCTGGTGATTCGCTTGTCACCTCGCTGTGCTGATCTCCGTTGTTCTTTGAGCTTCTTGGCGATGAATTCTCCAAACCCGTTTCTGGCTCCTCGTTGAGATCAGGTGACATCAGAGGATATTTGAAGCTGCTGTTGTCATCTGCAATCGGCTTCTTCTTCTTCTTCTTCTTCACCTGAGAATTGCAGAACTCTTAAGATTCGAATCAACAGTGACCAAAAAAACAGATTTTTTTTCCCATAGAAATAATACTAAGAAACGCATCGATTCTGCTCGTCTAAGCACAGAGAGGATGGTCAGATGACCGCTATCACAATCGGGAAAACCCAGTAAAATGGTCAGAACCCTGCGAATATGGAGAGAACAGAACAAACTGATGATTCCACGAGGACATGGTTTCCAGGAGTAATGATCAGCTAGAAAACGGCTAATTTTCCTATGAATCAGATTCCAGACGACAGGAGGAGGAAAGCCCTGAAACCCCTTGGGAAAATCGAGATCGACCCTTTAACAGATTCGATCAACCCAAAAATGGGCACCTCTCGGAATCGCAGATAAACAACGTTTTGGGCCCGATCACGGAATTGGAAACCACCCCGATCTCTCCCATGGATAACAAGCAATAGGGATTCCCACGACATACCTTATCTGGTTCAAACGAGGGACAACAAGAGGACGAGGAAGAGGAAGAAGCCTCCTTGCCGAGAGAACAAGAGGGAACAGTGGAGGAAGACAATGGATCATCATGAAACGATGTTATTGTCCTCCCAAACAACTTTATCGCCGTGTCTCTATGTCCATACATAGTGATTTTCCCGAGTCCCGACACAGACAGAAATGAAAACTGATGCTGAAATCGATTTCTGCCCTTTTGGTTTTTTTTGTTTTTGTTTTTTCGGGTGCGTAATCGAAAGAAACGGAGGATCTTAGAGGAGAGTGGGGGAAAGGGGGGTTTTTGAAGAGGAAACGAGGAATGGATGGATAGTACGAAGGAGGAGAGAGAAAGTGGGGAAGGTGACACGTCAGCAGAGAGATAAGGGCCTCTGGTGACCTGAGAGCCACATGTTGATGCAAAGTGGGCTTTCAGATCTTTTCACGCTCTTTTTGATTCCCTCTTCCTCTGCCTCCCTTGGATCTCCCTCTTTCTTGCCACGTCGGATTTTCCCCGCCATCCTCGTTCATTTTTGTTTGTTTATTTTATCCCTATTTTCTTATATTTTGGATTCCCATTTTGTTTGTATAACCAACGTTGAATTCAGGGGAAAAAAAAAAGAAGTTATAGTTGATACTACCATTCTGTTATGACCATTGAAATTTACATTGATTTAACGATATATAAAATAATTACTATTACTTAACAAATTTTACCCAATGGCGTATAAGATATAAATGCTATTATATTAGTTGATATTAATAAATACTATATTATATGAATCATAGTAATGGAAAAGGTCGAAACTTTCCCACCATGCAATAGCTCGTTTAACCTGTTCACCTCTCCATGCGATATACTATAACTATTCCCTTTCCATCTCCACCAAGAAAAACATGTGGAAGACGAGCGTTCTATTAAAAAAATTTAAAATCGGAAAGTTAAATACAATTTAATTTCAAACGTATCAATGGTGTCTGTGTGAAGAATCATATATGTAAGTGTAACGTATATGTATATATGCATATATGTCCAACAAGGCACAACCTGTCATTCAGTGCCAAAATTCCTAGCTGTATAACTACGTGGCACGTGACCTACCTGGGCCTCATGTCATGCCACGTCAGCTGGAAAATCTCACTTGTGGGCCGTTGCTTGGGCGCGAAGGATCCCAGCCGCTAATCTCACTTGCAACTAGGGAACGCTGGACACGTGTCATAAGCAGAACATAGTTTCTGTGTAGGGCTGCTGTAGGGTATCCAACATACCAGCGTTTTGTGGCGCGCAAACAAGAGATTCTGAGGTTAGTTGTAGTGGGCTGGTGTTTGCCACGTGGCGTGTCCAAGGAAGAGATAAGGTTGGACCATATCTTTTTCTCTAATCCCACAAATCCTCTTGATATTAATTATTAAAAAATTCTTTTCTTATTTCCTATTATGCCCCTATTTTTTTCATAATTATGGAATTGGCCCGCTTATTTAGAAATACAAGTGGTCATCCCTCCGTCGTGCAAATTGCCATGGTGGTTATCCATTATTATTTGTGGTAAAGGTAAGAAAAGACACGATCGATCAGTGCAATGATACTACATTAATACCAATTCACAATAACCACAAATAATTTACGAATTTCATATTTTTTTCTTTTAACTAATATGAATATGAACACATCATTGTGTTAGTTTGGGAAAACCATTAAATATGCGAACAAAATTTGATAGAATGAATAATTTTTATCAGATTTTTTTTTTGTATATATTCTAAGTTCATTCGGACTTAAATAATTTTTTTGAATTATACCAACCAATTGACCTCCAAATTTCTCATGATTTATTAAGAGATATACAATTCAAATAATTTTATAATGTGGGACGTGATGTGACAGCACACTTAAATTTATGAATATTTACACTTCTTACACACTATAATATAATTTTGACATTTTGTTTCCTGCGTTTTTCTAAATGGACGTATTAAATCTTGCCGACAGCTTTAATCGGACCGTAAACTGGAAGCCTTTTGCGGTGTACGAGGCTATAGTAGTGAGCCCATAAAGGCCCATTAAAATTCGGCCCAATAGCTATCACGTTTATTCATGCAGCCAGCCATACGCAAGAACTAAATGTTTGGATCGTAATTTGTGTATTTCATGAATGTTTTTTTTTTATAATTCGAAAATTTACGGTGATCCAACTATATTTTTTAGAGAATCGGAAAAATTTATATAAATATTATTCCAAAAAAGACTCAAATTTAGATTAGAGTTAAATTTTAAGTATATTTAATGAATGTTATGTTACGGGTTCCATATATATTTAAGTTTCATACTTCAAAATAACCAAATATAAATTTTACCGAATCAATTTTCTCTTATAAAATTTAGGTCATTTTGATTTTCTATAATCTAATGCAATGCAAACCCTAAACTTGTAATAATTATCTAAAGTATCTGTGCTCAATATTAACTCGTTTTACATCTTTTGTTCAGCAAGTGACACAAGGATGATGTCACTTTTAATTCGACAGTGGAATCACACTGATTAATTTAACTCTATTTATTTCGAAATTAAAATGGTGAATTTAATTATACATACAGTTTTTTTTAAATAGTCGTCTCCTTTAAACATGTGGATCTGTGCAAAATTCGATTGGAATTGGGTCCCTTGAAAGAGAATAATAATTATTATTATTTTAAGAATAATAATAATAATAATTATTATTATTTTAAGAATAATCGACGAGGCATCTCTTCCTTTCATACTACATTCGATCCATTTTAGCATCATTCCATATATATATATATATATATATATATAAATATATTCTCCTTTATTTATTCCTTTTCCCCCTTTGTTTCCTTTTTCTTTTCTTCTCCATTTCATTACGTTTACGTTACAAGATACAAATTAGCTGAATCCCAATGTATTATAACAAACGACCGCCCTTTCAATTTTTCAATTTTTCTTTTGTTTTACAATATTACCGTCTTTATACTATAATTTTATAATACATGAAAATGTATATACACTGTATGAAAAGACATATCGTTTTGAAAGCGTCTTATGAATAAAACATTCCATTGGAGAGGTTCTGAAACCGGTCGTAGACAAATAGTTCCTTTCTGCCTACTCTTACAATAAATTTTTTAATTATTATTCTTCATATACATGCAAATTTTGATTTGTAGTGTTTAGCCGATAGAAAAACATCGTCAAACCATATACACGCTTTATTGCCATTTCTTGTCTCTTGCCTAAGCAAATCTTGGCAAATACATTGTTTATTAACCCTTAATTGAAAAATTCACGCTGTCGTGATCTGTTGATTAATTATATGGCAAAATTAAATAAATAAAACGAGATTATGCTTATGCAAATGAAATCATTAACTGAGCTCCACTTCAACCACCTGCTCTGCTCTCTCCGGGCAAGTTTCATCCTAATTCTTACATTTAGATAAATACCATTTATCAATTTTATACCCAAAGAGAAATGTAATTTCATAACTCGCAATGATGTGTATACGTTTATCAATTCATGCACCCCCTATTATTATATTACTCGATGATATCAACCTAAAAAAGATATATATATATATATATATA